GCATTGAACAGCTTCAATTCCATGTAAACCTACTGACTATGATGAGTAAGGACAGTTTATCGTGGTATCATTCAGGTTAGAATTCAGGTGGTCATTTAGTTCAGTCTTGTGCTAGGATTAGCTTAACAATTCAGGACAGAAGATGACTCCATGAATCATTAGCTGTGACCTACTGTATTGAGAATTAAGATTCACAATGTTTGTTGTGACAACAATGCTTGTTGTCTTTTTACATTGCTGTGTTTATTTTACTATTATTATTATTTTTTAAACCACTTCCTCAGCATGAACTTCTCAAAAGTACATGCTTCTTGGTTTCTTAGCAGTCACTGAACAATGTCTCAGTTTGTCCCTCAACAAGTTTGTCATATCATTCTTTTCTGAAGAAAAATTAGCTTATCATTTGTAGGTTTTGTGTAGGAAGTCTGAAAATACAACAGATGTTTAAAAAATAAACAAACACATTTCAGTAGCGTGAGTGATAATGCATCTTATTTATCTCTAGCTTGGCTTTAAGATGCGTGTCTCCGCTTGATCTGGATTCCACTTGTCTGTGTTTGTTGACCTTCAGTTGATTACTCAGTGTTTCAGCACCTCCCAGGACTAGTGTCCAACATGTGGTTGTATTTTAACCGGAAACCGAAAGCCTCCATGCATGGTTACTTCTTTGGGAGTGCAAACACTCCTATAAGCAAAGGTTTTTGGAAGGTGGTTTTTCATGCCTATTTCAATCTTCTAGTTGGGATACTCTGCATTTAGAGCACCAAAGAGCTAAGAAGCATTTCACTGTTCAAGTAGCAGTAGGACCTTACTACTAAGGTTTTGGAAAACTCCAGTAATCCAGCCATCTCAAATTATCATGGCATGCATTTTTAGCATGAGGAGCTTTGGCAACAGAAGGAATCTGGATATCCTGTTTATTTTCATCTGCCACCATTCCTCAATAAGCAGTTGTCATCTTTAAGTAAAAGGATTATTGTTCTGTGTCTCTACAGAGACAGACGTTGTGAACAGGTATCCAATAGTTTGATATGAACTAGATCTGCTGAAAGATTAGTGTTACCTAATAAACTGTGAGAATCAGCAAAGCACAAAATCTTCTATATTTACATGTCTGTGTTCCACTGCTCTGTCTACAGTGGCGCAAAATCTTACTGCTACTGAAAAACGAAAGAGAATCTGGATAGGTGGATAGCGTTCTGTGCAGGCTGCAGTGCCAAAACTGTCAGTCTTGGATTCTGCCTCGGTCATGACAGAGATATGGGCTTAGCTGATGAACCTATGTCAGTTTGTGTGCATCCACACCATAGTTACGGAGCTGTTAGAGCAGCCCAATCTTCTCTATCTGTACCATCTCGGTGACGTGAACAACTTGTGTGCCATAGGAGCTACCATATATGCTTACAAACTTCCTTCGTGCTTTCTTCCAAAAATCAGGCAGTAATGGGCTCCTGTTCATGGCTGTAGCATCATCAGTTGCTTTTTATACCAACAGGTAATAGTTGGTTTGCAGTGTGCCCCACACATCCTTCTGTAAATGTTTGCTTTCTGCTAGATGGAATTATGCCTGCCGTTCAACAGTGAGCCCTTGGAGATTTCAGTCTGCATGGTGGATAAAGGTAAATGATCATATTCTTCCATGGATGCATTTACTGAATTATGCTGGCAGCTCAGAATCAGTGACTTCACTTCTTTTTTGAAATTACTATTTAGGAAACCATAGATAACAGGGTTGACACAGGCAGAAGCCATGGCTACCAGGTGGCACAATGAGAAGATCAGATTGTGGTGGCAAGGTGAAATGATTTTGTAATTCCAGTCCTCAATGGTGTTGAAAACGTGCAGTGGTAACCAGCATACAGCAAAAGCAGCAACCATGGATGCTAACAAAATGTTTATCCTTCTCAGCTGAACTGCTCGGTTGCTATATTCACTTTTCTCAAACATGTCCTTTCTCTTCTGAAGACGTAAGTAGATACGCAGATAGCAAACAATAATGAACAAGAGGGGGATGCAGTATTGCAAGAGCAGCAAAGTGGTGGTGTAGATAAGTCTGTGCTGTTCAGAAGGCCACGAGTCGATGCATATGGCCTTGTCAGTGGAAAAATTCATGATGTATGAGAGCTGCCCATACAAATCATTAGACAAGATAGATGTGGTCAGAAAGGGCAGGGACATGAGACACGCTAAAATCCAAATGACTCCAATGCCTAGATAGGCTTGGGAGACACTTGGCCTCCAGCCCGTTGGCTTTATGATGAGCTGATGTCTTTCCAGAGCAATAAGGACAAGAGAAAGAATTGACACTGTCACAGATGTACACTGAGTGAAAGAGGTCATTTTGCACATGACCTCCCCAAATATCCAGTAGTCCATCATTGTGTAAACAATGGTGAAAGGCAGGCAGACAAGACTCATGAACAAGTCTGAAATTATTAAGTTGGAAATTAGGATGTTGGTGACATTGGACTTTTCCTTCTGCCTGGCTATGACAGCAATCAGACAAATGTTTCCCACAATGCCTAGGACAGTCTCCAAACTGTAAGAGGTGGCCAGAAAGACAGTAAGGTCAGTGATATTCCTGCACTGGTTTGAAAGGTGCGTGGGGAAGCTTCGATTTGAGCTCCAGTTCTTGCTATTCACAAAGGGAAAACCGTCATTAACAACTCTTGTTTTATTCATCCTGGACCCCAAGATTATCCAAAAAGGTGATAAGGAAGTAGAATTGAAGCCTTTTGAAGGCAGTCTTAGAAGTGTTTCATCTGTTCTCTTCAGCTGCAGAGGATTTGGTTAAATCTGCAAAGGAAAGGAAAAACAGTTGCTTGATTATGCTAAAAAGAGATAAGTCAAAAGGGTAGCAATGTCAGGGCGTGAGATAGGGAAGTGAATGCCAGTGATTCTCTGTGTCTTTTTTCATCTCCCTTTCATTTAGTGTATTTGACTGTAAAATGGAGTTATTTGCTTTACTAGGGGTTCTTACTGTTGTTAGGTTGGTGCAACTCTTTTGCAATATACTTGTTTTGAGGTTGAGGTATACTTGGTAGAGAGGACTGTACGAGTGGGTCCCTGAGAGACCATTATAATCAACCCATATCACTCCTTCCCAGATCCATTGCCTCCTCTGTACACCAGGTGGATGTCCTCTTGCCCTTTCCTTATGGGTTTCCTAGTGCAGAGCTCCTTCCTTCAATCAAGCACCAGAATCCACTTATGTAGATAGTTGTCCCTTGCCTTGGCACAGTCTGCTCTACAACCTTTCCTCTGCTGTCCAGGCTTGTGCTATGTCAAGGAATGGAGAAAAAGATCTAACCCTGCTGGGACTTCTCAGATCAGAGGTAGCTACATGGAGTATGAAGGCTTGTAATGTGCAGTGTAAATAAATTCTTAGGGAACAATGCTATTTACCCATTGTACGAGCCTTTTCTAAGCAATAAAAGGTTGCTCAAATGAGTTTGTGAGGTTGCGATAAACTTCTCAGGGTTTCAGGAAAACAAGTGGTCAAGCTATTAATACATAAATAAAATGATGCAGTGAACTTATCACTGTTTGAGCTGCATTCGTTGCTGAGCAGCTGCATGCATAAAGGTAACCAATACTATACAGAAGAGTCTACTACGCTATGTTCTTTGGTTTATCTAATCTTTTAAGATTTGTACTGTCTGCCTCTTAACAGGTTGACTCTCAGGAATTGTCAATAAAATCAACAATGTACAGTAAATAAGGTGTTTTGTGACTGTTATTCTGTCTGATCTGCAAAAATTAGTACAGTCAGTTCTTTTGCTTCTTTGTCTGACCTGTTGGTATATCTGTAATAAATAGGTACCTATGTGTTAGAGATGTTCACCTAAGAAACATACATTAGTATTTTATTTTTCTTGAATTCTATTTTCCTCAGCAATTTAAAACTTGAATCCAAAAGGAAATTTTCCAAAATGTGGCCATGACTATAATTGTTTCTGTCCCCTCACTGTTGTGGTGTTCCCTGCCCAGGGTGAACAGATTTTTCTTCTCTGGAGCAAAGAAAGGCAATGACTGTGTGTGAATTACTGTCATGTATGGAGATGGCCAGTGCAGAAAAGAGTGTGTTTCAACTTGTTCGGTGTGAAAATGGTGATAGAATGGGAAACCAGGAACTGCAGCTTATGATAACTGCTGGCCCGTGGAGATGGTCTGCAAGGGAAAAAGAGCAAAGGGATCGGGGGCTGCATATCATGTGGTACCAGCCGAAGGAGCTCAGTCATGTCATTTGGACAGGACAAGCAGGTCCTGCTGTCCATGAACACCTGGGCTTTCCACCACAGTTCCAGCCTAGTATCCTTAGCTGCAGGATCCTGGACACCAAGCACATGCTTCTCTCGTAGCCTGAAAAATGTGTCCTGAGTTATTACAAACATCTGTGCCCGAAAGGCTGAATCTTCCCCAGGATGACAGACTCTTCTGGACGTGCTGAGGAGTCAGTAATGACATCTAGTAATGCTGAAACAAGAATATAATGTAGTGAAGCCACTCAAAAAGCAAAAACCAGAGCCCAGCACTGTAAGGGGTGTGTTCCCAAGGGCAATGTTGCTTGTGTGGCTGTAGGTCTGTGGCAGGCGGCAGATGTGTGGGGGTAATGAATATCTCAGCAGGTCTGGAATGCATTTTGAGGGGGTTCGCTGCCTTTTAGTGCTTTCATTCTGTGGTGTCTCTCACAAGGCAGCTGTCAAGCATTTCCTAGACATCCATGCTCCACTACTGCCTAGAGGTGAATAATGTATTACCATCACAGATAAGGGCACTAAGACGCAGAAGGGCAGTGAGGCTCCGCAGGCTGGTGTCTCAAGGGACTCTGCGGTGCGTTCTGCAGGTGCACACTTAAAACCTCCTGCTCACCTTTGCAAAAGTCAGAGCCCAGATCACCTGGGTCTGTAGTTCTCTGTATCTCTTATGGCAACCATAATGTAAGGAGAAGCTTTAGAAATACAGAAAAATAAAAGTTTCGGTGAGTTTTAATCATACCTCCTATTTATGGTATCCTTATATGGCTTAGGGTCAATCACTGGCAAGTCCTGTGACTGGCAAGTCTCAAAGTTTTTATTGCTATTTGTTTTTCTCTAAATCAAATAGTAAGCTAGTATTGCAATGTGTACTTACTCTGTTCAGATGTTTGAATGAAATGTTAGTTAATGTACTGAATATCAGATGTAGAGGAAAAAGCTATAGTTTCTTGCTGTATCAAAATTTTTTTGATTAGTCAGTGAAATATAGCAAAAAGACGTTATGTATGAGCAGACAAAATAGCATTTGCGTCTAGAGAGTGAAACAATTTTTACTTGCTTTGCAGGAGTAACAAGCCTATCTCCTAAATGAGCTTGAAGGAGGAGTGGGGGGAAAAGGTGGATTTTTTTTTCTTTCCTTTTTGTTACTTGAGGAAAGAGGAAATGTTTCAGAACCTCCAGGGAACTTAAAGAAAGAGAACAGCTTCAAAAACTAATGTGCAGCCTGAGATAGTTTCTCTGAAAGATGAGTGTAACACAAATCTGCAGCAAGTCAGACTAGGAGAAAGTGAAGGAGCTTTCAGATTTAACCTTAGTGCAAGTTAAATTCTTCATCTGTGTCTCTCAGATGTTAATCACTGTGATGCCTATGCTGGAAGCAAGTAAATAGGGCAAGCAAGGTTCGTCTTGCTGAATGTTTCAGCTTTTTAAACAAGCAAGCAAACAAATCGGTTTATCTCAAAAGAAAAAAA